GTAATAAGTGGCAGTATGAGGTATGAATCAACAATATACTGACTATGAAGTGAAGGATGCTTATGTGCTAGTCAGTATCAAAAAATGAAAGAGGGAATCTGACCACACTCATAAAGTGCTTCCTGAATAGTAGTAAAATGGCATAAAATGACCTAATTCAAGTTACTAAGGGCAGCACAGAGTCAGGTAGCTTGTTGTGGGTCTATAGTAGGGCCATATCTTTGACTCATTACAGCCTATTATCCATTCACTGCTGGCAGTTTGGGTACATCAGGACATTTTGTAAAGGTAGTGGAAGCAGCTTTCCAGAAAGGAATCCAAGCCATTGCTAATGCAACCACAGTTGGGGAAGTCCAAAACCTATGGGGTAGCCTGACAGAAGCCTATCTGAGCATGGGATGGCAACTGTGAAAACTTTTGGAAAGGAATCCATCTAAGGGAAGAAAAAGTCAAAGTGTGATGATCTTGACCCGGGAGCAAAGCTTTAGCTATCAGGGAGGATTGAGTCTCTGAGTATAACATCAGAACACTAGCGGATGACTCACTCCTGATCATGTGCCTGGGTCCTTGAGAAAAAGAGAGCTAAAAGAAAAAAATGGAAGGAGGTGGGTGGTTAGCAGGGAGCATCTGCAATGCCCACCATGTAGGGCAGGGTGGGGAGGAATAGCCACAGAGCAGTTGAGCCCTGCTGAGCAGCAGTGGAGCTGCAATAGTGGAGTCCAGAGCCCAGGACTGTGACACAGACATGCCCACAGACCGAATGGCAGCATATCATTGGTAGGGTGGAAATGTGGCTTGGCAGACAGTGCCACCACATGGGAATGAACCGGCTCCTCAGCTCTAGGGAGCTGTTAGAGGGACCAGAAGGAACTAGGTGATGGAAATTGTGTTGGGAGCCCAAGTTCTTGAGTCACTTGAAAGAAGCCAGAGCCTGGGTATTGGGATCATATGCAGAACCATCTTTGAGTCCCTCATTTCAACAGGGCTACCATCTCCCCAACTGTCCAAATACCCACTGTTCACTAGTGTTTCTCTTCATTCACCAGTTTCCTTTGTTAGCTTCCTAACTCAAGAATTTTGTTGGCTTAGAGAAACTGTCTAAATTAGGTGGAAGACAAAGATAGAGTCTTAGCCATTCTAGGCTTGCCAGAATTTTGAAAGAGTAACTCAAATGGGTCCCCTTCAGGCAACATGGTAAGGGGATGCAAAGACTACTAGGCGATGGAAGAATAAGGAAAACTCTTACTCATCTCATGCAAACATTGGTAGAGATTAAGTGACTTGGCCTAGCAATGAGAAAATTGATTAAATGAGCTGGAGATTTTAAGCTTTGTGGAATGATTATATTCTGCAATGCTAAAGGCAGGTTTATTCATTAGTAAGGGTCCTGGATGAGACTTACCACCATGAGTTTCACTTTTGATAGAACTGCAAATTCACCTTCTGCTACATAAATGGTTTTTGAATAGTAGCACCAAATGGCAAGCTATTTTAGACCTATAAGGATGGCGGGGAAAGTTGTTCAATCACAATAGCACCTGGTATTTTCATTGTGCTTTTCCACAAAGGGTTCTACATACTTTGAAAAAAGATCTCATTTCTTGTTACAAAATCTCAATGAGGTAATAGCTTCAGTATCTGAGAGACTGACACAATAAAAGCCTTCATCTTGTCACCTTTCCCAGCTGTTCTTTTAGGTAGCAGCGGACTGCAATATATTATCTACTTAATAAAGTAGGATTGAGTTTCAGAAAATGTGGGGGAAAAGTTACTTTATAGATTTTATGATAGGCACAGAAGGGACTGAGGCAGGCCTTTGTATCTGCTATTTATGGTAATTCTCTAAAGGAATAAAGGGCTAGAGGTACTAAAATTTCCTTCCCAACTTTACATCCCCCTCTTAAAGAACATATCCTTTTTCCTGTCCACAGAGTTGGATCCTAAGTCCTTGTTCAGTGGTGATAGGGAGCTGTGATTTCAGACCTCAGAGATAGTCAGACTTGAATGAGCATATGGTCCAGTTAGTCCTTTGGATCCTTGCTCTAGGACTTTGGATCAGGATGCACACAACACACACACACACACACACACACACACACACACACACACACACACACACACACACACACACACCCCTAAACTGGAAAGTGAATAGGAACCAAGATTATCTTCCTCTCCCCACTTCTTTCTATCTTACTGGGGCAATGTGGTCCCCTCTGTTCAAAAAGAGCCTTGAAGAGAAACAGCCTAAATGTCTACCAACCAGAATTGATTAAACTGTGGCACATCTGTGCCACGGTATATTACATGGCAGTACGAAAAGACCGAAGAAACTTTCTGTGACCTGATCATTACTAAGATATGTTGTTAAAAGTCTACCATGTAGAATGGAAAGTCTTGCCCAGACCAGAGGTTCTCTATATATGCTCATGTAAGCATAAGATGTCTTTAGAAGGTACAAAGGAAATTGATAATATTGTTTTCCCTGAGGAGGTTACCTGGGAGATAAGAGGTAAGAGGGAGACTTTTTTCATATACCTGATTATATGTTCTCATTTTAATCAAGTGAATATACTATTTATACAAAAATAAAAATGAAATGTAAGCAAGATGAAGCCTTCTAACTCAATTTTGTTTTTGAGAGGCTAATCAAAAATTATAACAGAGGTCAAACAGTGCATGGATTCAACAGTTGGTAATTTTATTACATTTCACTGAATTTTAATTTCACTATGTTGTCACTGCTTTGATCCAGTTCTCTGAATGTAAGAATAATATTCTCAGTGGACTTGCAGCTTGCTCATACATTTTGAATAACTTGCAGAATACAAATGTGTAATTTAGATAGAAGTGGGTGCTTTTGGTAGCATACTAGTGCTCTAATCAGCTGAAAAAATAATATTTGTATGACATTAAAACAAAATTAATAGCAAGACACTGGTTACATGAAAAGACTTATGTTGTAATTATTAAACTTGCAAACAGCTCAGCACAATTAATGCCTTAATGAGGATATGACCTGATATTTTAGCTTCCAAAATTAATAAAGGCAATTAAAAGTCACATTTGTAAAGAAAGTGAGTTTTAAGAATTACAAAGTAGTGTGACATTTTTCTCTCATTTTGGGGAGCATTTTTGTAGGTATTAAGCTTAGGATGCAAATGCTTTGATTCCTATCCCCAAGCCCTAACACAATAGCTCAGCCTGAAGCAGAATAGTCAAGTTCAGTGAATTTCAGATAGGCAGGCCTTCCACCAAAGGGGGTTGGGTCACTCCCAGGAATTCTACCTGTAGGTAACTATAGGGCAAAATGAAACAGCAAAGACTTTTCTCTGTGTGACATCTTGAGGGATAAATGAACTAGAAGATTGATATTGACTTTGATCAGACTCCATATTTTTACAGAATAGCAGTTCCAGTTCCATAGTTTGCCACATGCTAAAGCCCAGCACAAGACCAAAGAATGTTATGTTAGAAGATAAAAATGGATAATTCAATAAATATCGGTGGGCTAGTGATTCAGAAAAAAATAAACCTGAAATCCTACCTCATTCCTTATACCAAAAGAAACTCCAAGTGGATCAAAGATTTCATATAAAAGCAAAATCATAAGTGTACTAAGATAAGACTTAGTATTTCTATAAATTTATATTTGAGAGAATCTTTTTCTTTTGGTGAGACTGGGGTTGAACTCAGGACTCATTTTTTTCCTAAGAAGGCACAACTCTATTGATCAATAAGGAAATAATTGGAAATATGCATCACAATTTATGCAAGGATATTAAGCATAGGTAAAAAATAATATAACTTATATGTTAACTAATAGCTCATAAGTGATTAACTAGATTAGACAATAACCATAAACTGTAGCCATTAAAATCAGAATACTTAATATCAAGATATTTTAATTATAGGATTTACTAAAAAGAAAGATAGCTAGAGAATATAATTGAATTCTATTTAATTTTTAAATGTCTTATCTAGATAGAAAAAAGATAAAGGAACTAATATAGTAATGATAATTCTTTCTAAGGTAGAATTATTGATAAATGTCTTCATTTTTGGTAATTTAAAATTATCTATAATAAGCAAATTATTTTGTATTTAGCACATATTTTTATTCCTTGAAGTTTTAAATAACAGGATATTTCACTTTTATCCCAAATAGCTTAGAATGAGATCAGGTCTGAAGATCAAAATTAAGGGCCTCGAGGGGATCAGGAACTAGAGAAAAGGTGAGATCAAAAAGAATTAACCTAGAAGGTAACACCCACGCACAGGAAATTAATGTGAGTCAACTCCCTGTATAGCTATCCTTATCTCAACCAGCAAAAACCCTTGTTCCTTCCTGTTATTGCTTATACTCTCTCTACAACAAAATTAGAGATAAGGGCAAAATAGTTCCTGCTGGGTATTGAGGGGGTGGTGGGGTGAGGGAGGGGGCGGAGTGGGTCGTAAGGGAGGGGGTGGGGGCAGGGGGGAGAAATGACCCGAGCCTTGTATGCACATATGAATAATAAAATAATAAAAAAAATTTAACTTTCCAAAACAAAAAATTAAGGGCCTCGATAGTACAGCTTAAAACACAGTGATTATGACAATTGTGATAAAAAAAGAAATTCCTCTGACCAATTCATTGATGTTATAGCACATGGGTTAAATTATAGCTGTTAGTTGTAGTTGATTTTTCTCTCCTCTTTCCTCCTTCCTTTTTTCCTCCCTCCTTCCTTTCCTTTCTCCCTCCCAGCCTTACTTGTAGGTCTAGAATACTGACCACCCCTTTTTAAGGCCTGGTTGGCATCACCAGTTGATTCTTTCATAAAATCATTGTCATGCCCATCTATCCCTAACTGCCTTGTTGCAGAGCAGGGAACATGGGATCCAAAGTTCTGATTTCTTGGACTTAGCAAGAAGCTTATGTTTTTAACTGGAGCCACTTGCCAGTCACAAAATAACTATCACTAGTTTTGCAGCAAAAGTCCACTGAACTTCCTTAGTACCTGTAGGTTTTCTTAATTTCTTCATTTGATGCTCCCTTTTGCAGACCAAGAATTTCATATAGAGCCTCTCCGGTTGTTGACATAGTCCGCTGTCTTTGATTAGGTGTGTTACTTGCCATTTTCTCAGGCTGAAAAACCAAAAAGGGAAAAATAGCCTTCAAGATTATGCATGCTGGATAAAAATGACCTGGTCATTTTTACCCTTTTGTAAAATTACAATCTGAAGTACATTTGTGTGTTAGCTTCAAAAGGAGGAAAGAAAAGTATTAAGTATTAGTCAAAAGTAGAGTTTTGAGTCAGGACATTCTCAAAGGATAGTCAGCCACACAAATGGAATAGGGCTTTGTCCACATAGTTAAATAGAAATAAAATGTGATCTTAATACCTAGCTAATTGGGAAGTGTTGACAATCAATTCTCATAGGTTAGGCAAACGTAGGTGTTTTGCTTTACTTTGTTTGGGTACACTTTTCATAAGTTCTTTTTTGTATATCTTGTATATCTTTGTGATTTAGCAAGCAATGGAAAGAATGGTCCATTTTGTTCCATGTCTAGTGGGCTAGCCATTGAGAGAAAGTTTAAATGGCTTTTTTTCCAGCATCAGAAAAAATTTCTGATCTTATCCAGGATGTATGTTAGAACTCCTCTACAGCTGTGAGGTCCCAGACTTTTCCCTCCGTATACCCCACAGTGACCCTGGCTCTGCACCTGAGATGTTTTCTTTCCCTGTGGTCTATCCAGAAAGAGTTGGGCTATCTCAGGTCCATGGAGCCATGTACCTGCTGCATTGGGACTCTGCAGGACTCAGAGAAACAAGCATAGCTGGGCGTTTCTGTAACCACCACTTAATCTCCCTGAGCTAGTGTTTTCACCTATAATAAAGCCCCCTCCTTCATAAGGGTACATTAAGGACTTAGAAATAATGCATCTATTGGATCCAGGACATAATAATCTCAAAGAAAAAGAGAGACTAGTCTTATTCTTATTCAAGGTAGCGCAGTGTGCTGTTCAGAGTGTGTTGTAGTCAAGACTTCCAGGTTGGAATACTGGCCTTGCTATTTTATTACCAGCTCCATGAGCTTCCTCATGGAGGAAGGTCAGTTATAAACTGGAGGGAAAAATATGCCTTAAACTCATGGAACTACTGGAAGAATTAAGTGATTTAATGCACTTTAAAAAAAATGTAGAACCAGTGTCATAGCAGCATTAAGTAAAAAAGTCAAAACTTACAAACAACCTAAATGGCCATCAACACATAAATGGATGAGCAAAATGTGTTATACATATAGAATGGAATATTATTGAGCCATGAAAAGAAATGGAACTCTGATAAATATTGTAACATGGATGAATCTCAAAATTAATATGCTAACTGATATAAGCCAGTCAGTAAAGAATAAATATTGTATGTGTAGAGAACCAATTACAACCAGTAGCTGTGATTATTTATTGTAGTTTTGTTTTCCACTTATGTGAGGTACCTGTGACAGAAAAATTCATAAGGCCAAAAAGTAGAGGAGAGGTTACCAGAGTTGGAAGAAGTAGGAAATGGGAGTTATTGCTTACTACTTACAGAGTTTCTGATTAGGATGATGAAAAATCTCAAAATAGATGGTAGTGACGATTAGATAACATTGCAAATGTACTTAATGCCACTGAAACATACCCTTAAAGATGGTTAAAAATGCCAGCTCTGGGACTGGAGGTGTGGCTTAAGTGGTAGAGTGCCTGCTTTGCAAGCACAAAGCCCTGAGTTCAAACCCCAGTCCCACTAAAAAAAAACCAAAGTGCCAGGACTTCATAGTGAGATTGTGGCCAGCCAGGGCTTGTGTCTCAAACCTCTCTCCTTATAAAAAGGTTAAAAAGGTAAATTTTGTTATGTGTATTTTATCATAAAACAAAATGACAGCAATAATATAAACAAAAACTCAGAACCAGACATGCTGGTACATGCCTGTGCTTCCAGCTCAGGAAGCAGAGGCAGGAAGATCATGAATTGGAGGTCAGAGCCTTGGCAAAGTGAGTGTGAAACCCTAACTCGGAAAAAAAAAAGAAAAGGAAAGGAAAGAAAGGAAAAATAAAAAACAAAACAAAAAATACAAAGGCTGGGGATAGAGCTTAAGTGGTAGAGCACAAAACAGTAAACAAAAAAATACTACTCAGACTGCAAGCTCCTCTGACAAAGTTCCTTGAAAATCCCCATCCACTTGGTCACAGGGCCTTGTATAACAGTGAACTGAAGTGGTGTGAATGAATGAATGAATATATCAGGTCTGAGGAGGAGATGGTGTCGGGGTTTTGGTGATATCCCTGGTGACAATGGTGTCTTCAGAAGAAGGCCTGGCAGGAAGGCACAGTGAGAGTAGACTTCCCAGCTCTGCTCCCACTAGGTTCACAGCTGTACAAGCCCAGGCAAGGGAAGAGGCCGCCACAGGTTATCTATCACCCAGGGACCCAGGGTAGTCTTTAAGGCCCTTTAGATCCCAACATGGCAGAGGCAAGGGTTGCTGTTCCTAAGGAATCCAATTTAGAAGGACAACACAAAGAACTTCAAAATGTTTTTTGTGAGCCTTCAGTTTCTCTAGAGAAAAGTAAGGCAGCTGTGAAGGGAGTCAACCACCAGACAAAAATCCTGCAGTCCTGAAGGTCTGAGGACCTCCATTCTACTCTTTGCTTCTCTAAGTCCAGTTTTTGATTCCACATGTAACTGATATGTGACACTTGTTTTTCTGTGTCTGGCTTAATTAGTGTAATGTTCTCCAGGTTCATCCATGCTTTTGAAAATGAAAAGATTTCTTTTTTTAAAAAATGCTCAATAGTATTCCATGGTGTGTATATCCACCATCTTCTTAATCTAGTTATCTACCGATGGACCATTCCACATCTTCATGTTGTGGGTGATATGCAATGAACTTGAGTGCGGGCACCTTTTCAGCATACTGACTTCACTTCCTTTGGCCATATACTCAGAAGCAGAACTTCCTTGCACGTTCTTAGTGTTAGTAACCAGTGACTCTGGGGATCTTGCCACCTAGCAAGGTCGTGGAATCCTAGTCAAAGGGACTAAATGGGATGACTCTGATCCTTTGCTTGTCCACAATACAAACAGAAATCCCTCCTTTCCAAATCCTACTAATTAATGACATGCGCTGTGACTTTTAAAGTCACAGTTCCTTCTGGAACTGGGAGCCAATAGGTGAATGCATGGGACAGAGCATCAGGATCCTGAGTGACCTGTAAACAGTGGTGATAGGAGAGAGCTGAATGGGAAGGAAGTAGGAGAGCCTCAGTTACTCAGACAACTTTTCCTTCAAGCATGAATAATCAGCAGGGCTGCGGCTCTAAGATAGTGCTGAACTGCAGGATTGGAATGACATAGCTCCAAGCCTTGAATTGCTTACCTCATAGGGAAATTCAGACAGATGGGAGAGTGTAGTAAGGTGAAGCAGTGATGAGAATAAGTGAAACAATTTAGTGAGTAGCTGCCAGTGAGTATGGATATCTGTTGTGTTGTAGTGGATAGAATCAGGGTTCCTTTTCCTTAGTGTGAACTAAGGCTTTGTGACTTGAGCCCATCTGGCCTCTAGGGGCTCAAATGCCCAGAGCTGTTTTTGCCCAGAGCTGACCTTAGATTGCAATCCTCCTGCATAACTAGGATGACAGGTGAGAGCCACCATGCCCAGATTATTGATTGTGATGGGGTCTTGCTAATTTTTTGCAGGCTGACCTTGAACAATGATCCTCCAGATCTCCATCTCCCTAGTAGCTGGGATTACTGTAGTTAGCCACTGAGCCTAGTTTACCAGTGACTCTCTTGATCATCTGTTTTCATAAATCATCATAAAGGAGGACTTTCAGGTTTGGAGTCTGAAAGAGGAGGCTCTAACCCAGAGTGGGATCTAGCTCAGAGAGAGAATGAGCGGAGTCTAGACTAGACATTGGTCCCCTGCCCCACCCAGAGATCTACTGGGGAGAGAGGTTAGGAAATGAAGAGATGTCTTCAAGAAGCCTCTCTAACTACTAAAGGGAAAAAGGTCTGGAATCTTGAAGCCACATTGCAGGAGAGGCGGCATCAGGGCAGGATCAGGCCTGTATTTTTCTACAGACAAAGCAGAGGCAGAACATGTGACAGAGCAGTCAGAGAACATTGCTGCCCCCACCCCCAGGCCTGATGAGAGAAGAGTGTCTCAGGTGGCCAAGTGTCATTGATGAAAACATGTTTGGGACCATTGGAAGATTCAGAATCACAATTCAAGGGGCAGGAAGGGAGAGGATAGGAGGCAGGGAGTAGCCTAACGTTGCCCTGCATATACTTTAGGTGGGATTTAGAGAACATCAATGACCCAGATAAAAATTCAGGTGCTGTTGATTAAAGCTAGTAGATGGGAGGGGAGAAGGTGAGTCCTCAAGCCCCTTTCTGCAAGTCTCCTTAACCTCAGCCATCTTCCAGAAGATTTTGCAGGGGGTGTGACCGTGTGGTTATATAGGTAAGATCTACCAGAATGAAAGCCAGTGAGGCCACATTTACCTCCATAGCTTGTGTGCCTGAGAACAATAGGATCATTGTGCTTAGCAAAACATTATTCATTCATATGTGTCTATTCACCACCATACTCTGAGCTCCTTAAGGACTGGAACTCTGTGTTAATGTTTGCAATCCCAGTGGCATAAACTTGGTTATGGCCTCTAGTGGTCTTAAAACTGTTTACTGCATGAACAGGAAGGAGAACCAGGAACTAGCATGTACTGAGCACCTGCTATGAGCCAGAAGGACAATTTCACATGTGTTCTATCACTTAATCCTGATATTTATACTTTGGGGCCTCCGAGAGAGACCCCCAATAGCTCAGAGTTAAACTAGGAGGTCAGGACATAATGAATCAAGATGTAGCTATCTTAACATCATCTTAAAGAGATAAATGTCTCCTAGTCCTGCAAGGCCTGATGAAACCTGATAACTGCATGTACATAACTGACAGTTGATAGATTTTTCTTATGTTGTTCACAATAGTGATGACATGGATATGCAGAGAAAAGTAAATGTGGAGCCAAATGCTGACTGGGCCAGCCAAGTACTACTGACAAGAAAGAACTGAAAGATTCATGTCCTATTGGCCAGGAATTTGTG